GGATTAAAATATCACTGTTAAGACCTATAAAATTTTCGTATCAAACATTTTATGTTTTTCGACCCGCCCTAATACACAATAAGCCGCGAGTTATAATTGAAAATATGTTTGTAATGCTTTCATTGCAACTTTTAAGCTTTAAAGAGAAAAAAATAATATAAACAAAAATAAAATAAATTGCAATGAAGTTTTCAATGCATTCACTATGTTACTCACATCAGCTTTTAACGATATTTTCTTTATTTTGGCTTGTAACTACTTAAGCTTCTACATGCATATGTAAAAATATTTACATACATACATTTATGTAAATATAATTTTGTCAAAAAAAAAAAGAAATCAAATAATAATTTTTATTAACTATTTCAATGCATTTTCGACGTTTTCGTCGACAACAACGCTGCTTCCGGGGCAATGCCGCTGCAACTGTTGCTGCTCCAACGGCTATTTCGCTGGGTGTCAACTACTCACTATCGCTATCTCGCTCTTACGATCTCTAACACCGCGCTTCTCTCTCTCTCTCCATACATTTATGTATTTATCCTTGTCTATCTCTGTGTTAACTACATTCCTAAAAATGTCTGCCCGATTGTGCATTTTATCGGCGTATGCGTCATTTTCCTTTGAGTATGTTCGAAATTATTTGCAAAAACCACAACAACAAACCACGTCTTCTACAACAACAACACAAAACATATGTGGATGCATTTTAAACTGCGCTGCGACAACAATAACCATTTGCGCGCGTGGTAACACTCAAAACAAATTAAATAAACAATCTCGGGTGCTGCCAATCCAATAACAATAACAACCACAACAACAACAAAATAAAATATGGATCGACTCTACAACTAAAACTAAAAAAAAACAAAAATAAAATACGAACCAAAAAAACTAACTGTACTAAACCATCAATACCCACACACTACTCTCTCCCTCTCTCTTCTGCTGTCGCGTTCACTCACACACTCTCGCTGTCCACCGATCGATCACTTGTACACCGCTCCCAGATAAGAGTAATATTCCTTTATTGGTTACCTTGCATACTGCGAATGCAAAGGCCCGGACAAGTCGGTTACGAATGCCCACCGCCGCCGTCGTCATCGAGTTCATCCACCGCCGGCGATAAGAAGCATCAATTGCAGAATGTCGAACTGAAGGAAAGGTAAATTTTATTCGAATAATAAATGTAGAATATATATTTGCATAAAACTATGACAATCATACTACTGATGAATTTCCAAATTTTATTTTGTCTAACCGCATGTGCGCTTTAAAAAAACGAGCGTCATTACTTTAAAAATTAAAGTTATAAAGTCAGTTTCCACATGTCATTTGCTTAATGGTAGACAATTTTTCGTCATTTTTGGCAAAGCTTATTGGAAATTATGCAAAATGGATTTAAATTTTTAATTTTTTTTTGATATTTTTATTTCTTATTTAAGAAACCGATCTAAAAAGAGTTGACTTTCAACGAAATATTTACATTCGCAGACATGTGTTTACACAACGTAAGTTTTTGTAATTAATAAGTACATTCCCCGAATTTCCTCTTAAGCAGATCATCAAAATCTCTACTTGCCAATGTGTTGGACATTGATGATGACTTTCGGTGCAATCATCGCTGCGCCAGCGCAACGTTGCCACATCAGCCGACCTACTATCGTGCCATGTATAGGTGAGTAGGCGAGGAAATTGAGAAATTTTAATTTTAAGAATAGGAAATCTATATATAAAAATAGATAGTAAAAAGTAGGCAGTGAATGGGAGACAGAATTTTTACGAGTTATTGATTTCATATAGATTAATAATTTAATCATAATTGATGTTTGTATGTTGGAAATTTTATAGGCACTGTTATCGACACATTTATCGGTATATTTTCGATAAACCTCGGCGACTTTTTTTTTTTTGTTATGTCAATCACTATTGGTAGCGATATATTTATAAGTAGAGAACGACCCTATAATGACTTTTAAGACCGCAGATAATCGACCGAACTCCGGTCAATTTCGACCGAAGCCGAACCGAACGTTTTCAAGAGCTCAAGTAATTCAATCACATATGGTAGTACTTGTTTTTGTAAAAATGATAAAAAATATACATACATATATATTTTTACATGTTCGGCCAAAGTTCGGCTTTTTGTGCGAAATCGAACCGCAACCGAACTGAACTTTTGTGTCACCACATAATCGATACTACTACATAAGCAATACTACGTTAGTTGTCCTCCCAGAAGCCTTGAATCTTATTTTCTTATTGATAAAAATAAATCGGTAAGTTGTTTATCATACGATCTATACATGGCCTTTGCAACCCTTCGTACGTTTCCATGCTATGCCAGGAATTGGTATATCCGTGGAAAGTAGGGCGTTTAGGAGACCATCTTTTTCTTATGAGAATGTTTGTTCTCTATAATATGGCCACCGCTGCTACCGCACATTTTCTGTTAGGCCGACATGGCTCTGAAATACAGTTAAAATATGTTCACATTACAGCATAAATTACTTAATTTCGTTTAAATTGCTTTATAGTTCGTATCATACTTGGAAGTGGTTATTGCATACTTTTAGGCACTATGGTATATGTAATTTGCCGGAACAATAGTACTAGATTTACATATCAATAGATTATCCTCATTTTCGAGCTTAATTACCTAATCTGTAATTAGAAAACGAGATTAGCCATTCAAAATTTGTCCCTAGTTAATCTGTAATTATGTATAAAATAATCTCAGATTAGACCGATAACTTTTCGGTAGTTTTATCGATTATTTTTTCGAAGAGGAGGAGAAATGTCAAATGTAAAAGTAAACAATAATGAACGCTGGCAAAAAAAAGAGGTTTGTAAAGGTATTTTCTAATAAAATATTAAGTTAAAATTTATCGATTTGTTTTTGTTTTTTTTATCAACGTTTCAGTTAAAGCTCGGTGGAAATAGGCTAATAGGCTTCCAAGAATTGTTACAACGATTAAAGAAATCTATCAAAATCATCTCCCGTTCATTCGAAATTTGGTTCACTGCTTTTTTACTATGTACATTAGGGCGAATCGCCCTCCATGAAAAAATGGGCACTGTCATCAATTTTGGACAGATTTTAAAATACCTTCGTAAATTTCATTATTTTGATTCCGTTGATATAACTCTAACCCTTTTTAAGCTGAACCCTTAAGGGGATTTTTCGAAAAAATATTTTTCGAAGCTGATTTTATTTATATGAAATCACGATTTTTGTAGGTATTTTCAAATAGGTCCAGCTCACATAATTCTTAATAGTCTTCCGAAATATTTTGTATGGAGAGTGATGCACCCTAATGTACAAACATAAGAAAATATGCAATATCACTTTAATTTGTCTCAATATTGTGAAAATTAAAAATGCATTCAATGTTAATTTATCGTAAATAAGGTATTGTAAAATGAATTATCAATTTCCCCTATATCCTTATCAGAATTCAAGAGTAGCTTTTGTGTGCATAAACATACATACATGCGTACCATGTAAGGTAAGCGTGCACAAAAGCAATCAATAGAAAAATTAATTTGCATATTCAAACATCAAGTCAATTCAGTGCAAGAATAAAAGCGAATTTCTGCATTGACACGCCCGCATCGATGGCAAACACCAATCGGCGTTTGATATGTGTCACTGTCACATTTTCCGTACACTTATTTGCATTTACATACATACATATGTACATCCATAAACAAAAATTCACTTACATTCCCATGTCCCACATTGCAGGCAAGGCGATGATGGCAGCGTCGGCCCGGTGGGTCCTGTCGGCCCCGTTGGCCCCGTCGGTGATGCGCGTATGCACGAGGCCATGTCACACACCTGCCTCAGTTCGTCGGCGGAATATGAATTGGCGCTCATCCTCAAAGAGCTGCGATGGATAACAGATCAGGTGAGCCGTTACAAATTGACAACAATCTTACAGGCTTAAAGACACCTTGGCGCTTGTTGATGCAATGTGTGTGTGTGTGAGTGGGAGTGGGAGTGTAGCACCCGCGTGCAAAGGTATATCAAAAATTGTCAATAGTCTCAGAGCAGTAGGCAGTAGGCAACTAGCAAACAAGCAAACAAACAACAACACTTACAATCGATAGCAATTTTCCATTGACAGTCTATTGTTTTCGATTTTAATGATGTCATTCATAGGAATTAGGTTTGACGGCGCTTAGATGGTGATTTTGCATTGGCATGCGGGCGTCAAGGCATCCCCCCACTCGATTGAAAAGCGTACTTTTTGCAAATAGCTTTTTGTTTATATGTATGTATATTCAACGGATCGAAGATGTCGCTTTGTTGTTTGCTTTATCGCTGTGTCAAATCATGAATATTTCAGTTATTTCATTGCATCACATTGAAGATATAATCCAGTTCGATGCGAAACAATGATTCTGTGAAAAGTCTCAACACCTGTCACTAACGAATAAAGACGTATCTTGCTCTTATAGGGCATTTCTGCTAATTTGATGATAGCACTTAAATCGCAATTGAATTATTTTTCAATGTAGAGATTCAAATTAGACGTATGTACATTTTGTTAAGTGCGGAAATTCTCTATACAAAAATTATTAAGCATGAAATTCTGCTATTTTTGTCGAAGATTGCCCGAATTAGGTTTTTTTTCTAAATTTTTAAAATTCTACCATTAAGAAAAGTGTGTAAATCGATCTTTGACATAGTTTTTGACTTCAGGAATCTACAACAAAAAAGGTTTAACCCTTTAATTCTCGCATTACGTGTATGTTTGATCCCTTTAGGAAAAGGTCATTAAAGGGTCATTTACAGGGTTAAAATGCTATACAAAAATATTAAGCGGAGAATTTTGCTGCGAGTCACCGAATGAACAAAATTCGAATTATTCAATGTGAGATTGTCATCTGTAGTTCACAGCAGTGTTCGGACCACCACTGAAACTCGACTCAGGAGCAAATCACTCCAAAAATCCATACGCTTCTGTAGAATATTTTAACCCTCGAACCACCATTTTTCATAAGCTTTTCAAATAAAAATTTTTACCAAAAAATTGTTCACTAAAGTTTACTTTATTTTTCGAAAGACCAGATTTAAACGTCACTCAAAAGTCAAAAAAGAAGCATGAGGATTTTTTTTACCCTAAACTAGAAGGATGAAATTCGAGGATGTGGTAGTATAAATATTAGTCCTTAACATATATTTTTTCCAAAAATAACTATTTTCGTCCTTTGTGTACCAGAAAAATGTATCTTTTTCAATACCACGAACATTTTTTAAATAATTTTTTTAATGAATCACATCACTGAAATTTCAGAGTGCTTTAAAAAAAAATCTGCAAAACAGAGAGAAAAAACTACATATTCAGTTTTACTATATTTATTTAGCATTGATTTTTTCGTATTTTGAAATTTTTTGGTTTTTGTTGTACAGTATTATATTATAAAAAAAAATCGTTTAAAAGTGTAATTTTTTAATCTCGTATATAGACACCTAGTGAAATTTCTGGCTTAAAATGTTTGTAGAACAGTTTAACCCTCCAACTGCAAATTTTAATGGACATACAATGAATTTCTTGAAAATAAGGTTAAAAGTGTCCGTTACGGTAGGAGAACAGGGCAGAACACTTGTTAGACCGAAAAATATCGCTTGCTAAATTTTTATATAAATTCTGAATACAAGAATTGCTTATGTCAAGGCACAAAAATGAATGTTCCACATTGCAATCAATAAAATAACACGAATTTTCAAGTTAAAGAAAACATTATATAGTCAGCGAAAGCCGTTATAACTAGGGGTTGCTAAATACTATGAATTTATATGAATTTTATAATAAAAAGAAAAACAAACTATTCACCTCTGATATTTATTTTTTATACAATTAAAATTGAAAAGGTAAGACTTAAATGTAAAACTAAATTTGAACAAAACATGAAAAGCTCTGAACAATTTCGGATTATCTCGTTAAAAAAAAACCCGAAGAAAATCCGAAAAAAATTCAATAGATTCCACTCATTAACAGTATAAAAAATTATCGGTTATTTATTTTGTGTACAAGAAAAAAATATCCACACTGGCTTCTTTTTATTGTATTTCTAGTTGAAGAAAGAGGATGAAACGGGCGACGTAACGAGAGATTGGAAATTTGCGGCGATGGTAGTCGATCGCTTGTGCCTTATAATTTTCACGCTTTTTACAATAATTGCAACTTTGGCTGTACTCTTCTCCGCACCACATTTCATTGTAAGTACTCGAAAGGAAAAAAAATTAAAATATGTGCGTTTATATCATTTAAACACTTGTACATACAGTGACTCAGATCCGCGAAAGGAAAATCAGTTAGGGCTTTTCTATATTATGGTAACGTAAAACTCGGAAAAATTTAGAAAAATTCAATAAAATTTTCATTAAAATTTCGAGCTTTTTAAACTGAATTTTTTGACAAATTTTTGAGTGTGCAGTTGTATACCCCATACAATTTTAGTAATAAAGTGCATGTTTGCAGCTTTTCGTGCAAAAGTGTAGTTTATTAAAACTTTTTTAATTTTTTTTTTGCGAAACGGGGTTAGGGTACGTACACACCACATAGAAAGCGGTGCCGAAGCGAGCAAGCAATGCGCAGAGAAGCGAGACTACAGATGGTTACACTGAACGAGGTGCAGCGAAGCTTCTTATTTGGAACCGACAGCAAAGATACCAAAAAATTTCACTTCAATGAAAAGCGGGGCTAAAACATTTATAGGAAAATGAATGAAATTGTATGGGTTATAAAACTGCATACCCAAAAATTTCCAGATCAAAAATTTCAAAATTTTGTTGAAATCTTGTTGAATTTTTTCAACTTCTATATTAAGTTCGAAACTTTTATTTACGTGGTTTTAGTTATACTTGCACCATGAACAAATTTTTATAAAAAATTCAAAAAAAATTTACTCGAAAAACTTTGTGAATATTTAAACAAAAACTAACATCTGAACGTTATTAGAGTCACTGTATGTATGTATGTGCATTAGACCGCATCACCTTAAAAGCAAACAAAAAAAAATTCGTAGTACACCCCTGAACCTAAGTAGTATTTTTGCAAGGCAAATTCAAAAAAAAAATACCTTATTTGGTGCCACCTGAGTACATTCGTAAAAAAATAAAAATAAATAGTTCTACTGGAATAATCAAAAAAAAAAATCCTTAGCAAAATTTTTATGAATTTTGGTGAGCTTTAATTTACTGGCATTAAGGTGGTACGATCGGGTGACAAGAACTGAGATCCAGTGGGTAAGTACTAAAACGCGGTACTTCAGATCAATGAACTTTGACACTAAACAAATGTTCTCCTCAAGACAAAAACATCGACTGCAAAAATACTTTACGCTCAGTGCTGTATGACGAACTTTTTTTCTGATACGGTCTAATGTGCATACGAACAAATTAAATCCATATATGCCTTTACAAAATATCAAAACTCATTTGCTCTATTTCGTTAACAGTTCCCATAATTGATGTCAGCATTGCGGCAGCTTTTAAAAATCTGGACTCTACACAACAACAAATGTTTCAGACGCCAAATGAGAAAGTTTCACGTTTTTTTTTTAAGAAAAGCTTTGTTATATATATTTTTTTTTTAGTCTAAATGCTAAAGAAAAACACTAGTTCGGCTTATATACTTTTAACAAAATCAGCAACGCATGTATGTATGTACGTTAAGATACAAAACAAAAAAAAATGTGCCTCAGTCAACGAACGAACAAGTGTAATTTTATGCCAGAAATTGCAAAAAAAAAACAATTAATTTTTACACAATAGAAAACGCAATAAAATGGAAAATATGTAGGCAAATTCGCGCACATATTTACGTAAACTACAAATTAAGGTCATTTGATTTTAAAATTAGTGAAATTCATGTAAAAAATACTTTTGTTCCATTTCGCCGTATGCTGCATAGTTTGTTGTATGAATTCAATATGGTTAAGATAAAATGCAATAAAAAAGTGAAATATATTTCGCTGTGATAAGACAAACTTTCGATGAAGAAGAAATTCATTTCAAAGGTAATTGTCAAAATGTTAGGCATGCATACTTGCAAAATTTCAAAGCGCCAATTTTTTTTTTAGGATTTCTGATCAGCGTGGAACAAATTTAAAATCGATTTGATGAAAATTATTTGGTAATGAGCGAATTTGTTTAATGGTTTGTGACTATCTTGATAATATTAAAGGGCATTGTTATAGGTACCACAGAAACTATAGGGCTCTCAGAAGTCGATCTGCTACGAAGATAAGATGGACATTCCACCTGCGGCTAAAAGCATTCTGCGATTCGGGCGTTTAACACGCTACGAGCAACTTGCTACGGTCACACCACCCTCCTCTCCATAGCCCAACTTCGCTCTGGCTATTGCAGCGGCCTAAATTCATACCTGAGTGACCAACCAGTGTTCGGCATGCGTAGTGTCACCACTTAACTCACAGCACCTCTTCGCATGCCCCCCAAAACCCCACCCAGATGGATGAGTCGACTCGAGTGGGGTTTGGTAGCCGCTACAACAACAACAACAGAATGAGTGTTGAGTACAGTAGCTGGAAGTTAAATATTTTTCTAAACGCTGACGAAATCCTTATTTTCACGGATGGCTCCAAAGTGGCGTCTTCCCTTGAGAACTACCTGTAGAGGGTCGTCCTAAACACTCTCAGATCACTGCTGCGTATTCCAGGCTGAGATATATGTAATTGACAAATCGGCAAAGCTGGTAAGCATGATTTACCTAGCTACCTCTAAACTTGCCTTCGTTGTTAACAGTCAAGCTCTCATCAAAACCTTGGGGTCGGCAACGACTAATTCGGTATGCGTTAAAGAATGTCGAATATGCCTACAAGCTCTTTAACAACAACAAAATAATCATTCCGAGAAATGAGTAAGCGGACGAGTATGCTAGAAAGAGATCTGAAATAGTATTAGGTGAAGCGGTCCAGATCATTAAACTTCCCCTGCGATTCCTGTCTTCCGGAAGTGACCATGGCAGGGATGTTAATCCGTTTTCCGGGTTCCCAGAATTAGTCTCGGGATTTAGATATTCCTTACTTTTCAACAACTTAAATCAAAAAAAATGCTTCCATATTGTTTGAGAAGCTCTCCTGCCATAAAATAAATAATAAATAAATGGGTTTGAAACCAACTTTCTTTATTTAAAGTGGCATTTTTATTTTTTCTCTCTGACCTTGTAATTTCAAAGATATGACTGATTTCAAAAATTATTTAAAAAATTCAATGCAATGTAGAATAAAAATATGGGTACCAAATGAAGGCGGAAATTTCTTTAGAATTAAAAAAAAAAATAAAAATTTTTGGATTCAAAAGGACGAATAGGTAATTTTTTTAGCTGATAAAGTTAGAAGGACGACATTCGAGGATATTATCGAGTTTATATAAGTCCTTAACGTATAATTTTGCCAAAAATAAATATTGCGAAATTTCAAGGATAAATTTTTAAAAGGACATTTTCAATAACGAACCAGTATTTATGCACCAAACATTATTTGCCAAGAGTCCCGGGATTTTCGGGACCTAACATTCCTACTGCACACCTACGCAGTACGGAGTTTGCTAACGCTCTCAAAGCCAAACGCTATGCTTCGCACAGTAAGACATTTCCTTTCTTGGGGACCACTCGAATTTTTAGTACTGCGAAGACTGCTGTCGCCTTGCTATAGTAGTTATGTATGTTATGTCCAAGATTTGTCGTCCCCGCCAAAAATCAAATTTCTTTGGTCCCTTGGAATCCTACATTCTTTATTGCTCTTCCCTATTTGCACTAGCAGTACAACAAATCAATATTGCTAAAACAAAATTTAAATTAGTATATCACTTCACTTAACTGTAAAGAAATCCATTAACTAGATTAAATTTTTGTCAAGCCGATTTTGAATTTTTCTGCATTCATAAAATTTACGATAAACACTAATATTTTACCGAATTCATGCTGTAAGGGGCGCATACTTATTGGAGTTTTATTGACATAGAGAATGTGATAACAGAAAATCAAAGCAAAAGTAGAACATACATACATACACATATGAACATATGTATGTATGTATAAGACGATGTGAAGCTTGTTTAAGAAAACAAATAGTTTTAATAGAGTTAAACAAACGCAATAATCTAGATGAATGAGCGCTTACATAATATGATAGCTAAAATATTACACAACGTACAGCGAAACTATCTTCAAACATACTTACATACATACATACATACATACATACATAACTATGTAGTACATATAACATGCTTCAAAACTAACTATTTAGCAGAGCTATGAATTTCACTGACATAAAAAATTAATAGCATAATAAAATTTGTATAATAAAAAAGCAAACACAAAAAAAAAAAAAACCAAAAGAGAATATGTGAAGTGAAACGATAACAACATCTAAAAAATATTCTATTAACTTTCCCGAAATTTTCACGACTCTTACTCAAGCCGAACACAAGTTGATATCTATCGTGTGAACAAAATGAAAATACTCGATAAAAACAAAATACATACATACATACATACATAGATACACATGTACTTAATATCGAAAAAGTATAAAGTTAACTATTTTATAAAGTAGCCAAAAAGTATAGAAAATGCAGGTATTACTTACAAACAAACACACACACACACATATACCTACGTACTTACATACATATAAATAAAAGTAATACTCTACATTCTTACATACATAGGCAACATAAGCATGAAACCGTACGAATAATCGGCAAAAAAAAATTAAACTCGAAAAAAAATATTTGAAAAAAAAAAGTTTTTTCAAATCATAGTTATAAAAACTTATGATTATGATTGATACATTGAATTAGCTGTAAGTCGTTGAATTACATGCGTAGCCAATTGTAAATTACAAATGTTTTGATGCAATTTAAACAGCAAAAAGTTAACAAAATTCGTGCGTAGTTATATAGAATGTAAAACTATTAAATAAGTATTTCAAATACATTAACATATAGTGAGCAAAATTAAATTAAATAAAAAAATATTAAATAATTTATTATAAACTAGTCTAGGTTGAGTTAAATATAAGAGAGATCAGCGGCACATTTGAAGCTAATCGGTATAATGCTTATATGTACATATATATGCTGAAAATATAAAAAAAAAACTGTGAAAAAACGTGATCAGCAAATTTACAAGATTCTTTAATAAAATTGTATTTTTTTGTGCTGTTTTTTTTTTTCTTTTTACTTGAAGATTTAATAGTGCGTTTCCACGAGCAACAAATCGCAGCTGAAATTGTGATACGTTTCTAAATTGGCTCATAGAAAGATCTGTGCGCTGAAATTGTTTACAAGTTGCAATTTCGAATGGAAGTTCAAACTGCGATTAGACGTGGCAATGAAAGCGCTTTTCCCCCGCAGTTTGCTATCAAAAACCGAAAGCGAAATTCTTTTCGCAGATTTGCAGTAATCACTTTCGGAAATAAAAGTTGCAGGGTGTAACTGCAATTGAAAGAAGGCAAATCTCTTTCGAGAAATCATTTCAACTTTCGCTTTCGTGCTGCAGTAGCAATTTTGATTTCTGCTGAAGGTATTGTCAAACCAGCCGAGTGTTGCCGTATGAGACGGGAATTTTAATTCATTTATTCTTCTAAAATGAAGTATTTAAATATTAATTCGCAGACATTTTGAGGCCATTTTATCATTTTTAGTACATTTTTCAGCGTTCCAAAGTCACTTTGCACGCGAAGCGTAAATGCTCCAGCAATCATTTTTAAAAATTCTTGAGTCGGAAAGACCTTTCAAACCATCGGTTCTTGTTGCGTGTAACAGCTACTTTATAATCGGAACTGCGCAATTTGGGGTATGTGGAAACGTTGTTTAACCATGAGGTTACACGATCGAGAACTTGTTTTCAAGTTTATCAAACACACACTTCATGTCAAAATTCATTAGAATTGACACATCAGCTGTTTGACTTGCCAAGTTGCCACACGACTAGAAAGGAAAAATTCATATCGATTCAGTGTGAGTGTGTATTACAACTTGAGAGCAGGTTCTTGATCGTGTAACATTAACAAGTTTAGCACTTTTTTTGGAAATAAAACTTTGAATGTTTCGAAAGTCTCGGTTAAGTTGACGCTATTTTTAAGAGCTTTATCCTACGACTTCTCATTACTATTAAGCACTTTTTAAAACTATTTTTTATAACCTACACTTGAAATGAATATCAATCGCTTATAGTTTATACTCAAAGCATAAATTATTTTACACAAAAGAAAAAATATAAAAAGTGTTCATACACCCTATGAATTGGTACATACATATGTACATAATAACGTTTTGCTCAAATTGGAGGCTTTATGAATTTATAACATGACTCATATGATTTGCATGGTAAAATCGCTAAAAACTCGTTTAGCCTTAATAAAGTTCATGGCATACGACGATTCATTGAAATGGCAAAAATTCTTCTCATTTAAGGCCCAGTGGAAATCCAGTATTAGAATAAGAAAACGCTGTTGTAAATAGGCGAGGCTATTTTAGGGGCACGATCTAAAGAGTATTTGTAGTCGGTTTTAAGGTTTTCGTATTCAGAGCTCCCATACATATCTACATACTATTTCAGCAAATTTTAGCTGCATTCTTTTGTAACTGAGTGACAATACATTCGAATTTATAAGGAAATATCCAAGTTGTAATTCCCGAGAACGTCGAAAAATCGAAGAATCCGTTTCTCGAACAATTTTATGGACTTTAAAGGCTTCTTGGAGCGCGAAAAGTCAGAATACATACTTTTATAGTAGGTTTTCATAATTTAAACAAAGAACACTTTTGATTTGGGAGCTAACCTCGACACCTGTCAAATTGCAACCCAAAGATTTCGAAATATGTAACAAAATGGCATGCAAAAATGGATTTGGTCTCAAAAAAGTCGCAAAACAAAAAAGAATTAAAGAATTGTGAAATTTAAAAAATTTTTAATACAAAAACTTGTATGAATTTTACCTTTTTTATACACTGGTCTTAAAAGATCTCGAAATTTTCAAGGGTTTTTTTTTTTGCATGAGTCTTTGAACTTTGAAAAAAAATTTCTTACAAACTCTAAATTTAAAAATTTTTTAACAAAACGAAAAATTGCTTCAAGGTTCAAAAACTTATGTCTTGAAGTTTTCAGCATCTCTTAAGTTCAGTTACAGGTATTGTATAAAAAAATTTACCCAAAAATATTTATAAGTTTTCGATTTCATTTTCAAAATTCTGTAATTTTTTTATAGCTCTAAAAATCAGCTTTAAAAGAAAACAGATCCATATTTGTAATTATAATAGTTTTTGAGATGTACAAAAAATAAACTTAATCGGTTTTGGGAGTTTATTGTGGAGATTTGGTACAATGTATTTTATTGAAATTATTTCCAATCGCTAGCTG